TCGAGGCATGGCTTGGCGCGGTGGTGCTGGCTTCGGTCGAGGAGGTTGGGTGTGCATGTGCGTGTGCGTGTGCGTGTGCTGGAGTGCTGGCGTTGCCTGGGCTCTGCTTGGTATGCGGTGATGTTGAAGCGATGTCGGGGCGTTGGACTAGGCTTGCGTTATGCCTGGATGCGTCGGTGGCAGAAGGTGGATGCGAGGAGGACGGTGCGAAGGCGGAGGAGCTGGAAGAAGCGGCAGCGGCGGAGAGCGAGTCGTGGTTGGGGCCGGCGGAGGACTTGGAGGCGTGGCGCAAGCGGTCGGCATACGACAGCTGCGGCTTGCCGGTGGACGAGGACCAGGCGGACATGGTTTGCAGGCTGCGTTGGGGTCGAGCCAGGCGCCGCGTTTCTCCTCGCAATGCGCTTCTGGTAGTGCGCAGACGACGAAAGAGGTGCGAAGGCGATGGGTGCGTTGGGAAGGACGATGCTCGGACGTATGCTTTTGGAGTGCGAGTAGAGAAAAGGCAGGTGTGTATGCTGGCGAGAGGTGTGCGCTTTTGTGGGTTGGCGTGGGACGCGTGTGGGCCCGAAGACCAAGTGAGATGGCGCGGGTGGGATGAGCAAGAGGTGATGAAGGCGGCTGAGACTGGACAACCACCCACCGGTTGGATTGGGAGAGAGAAGAAAGGGATGGCCATGGCGAGGCTTGACTTGCTTGACTTACTCACACGCTCACCCACGCTCAGTCAGTTGGAGCACGCGCCTCAGCCTCTGTGTGGCCTTGGCTTTGGCCTCGACCTTTTGGCTGAGCGTGCCAAGTCGAGCAAGAAGGCCGTTGCGCGCTGCTGAGCCGAAAATCCGAGACTGAAGAGTGCAACACACCGGCTGCTGGATCGTGATCGGCGCCCGATTGGCTTTGGGCTTTGGGCTTTTGGCGGACGCGAGCGCGAGCGCGTTGCAATTTTGGATTTTTGGAAAGTTCGCAAGTTGGGTTCGCTCTCACACTCTTTCGGAAGGCGGCCGGCTGAGCATGCACGATGGCGCTTTGTTCGCGAACCCCTTGCGTCGTGTCGGGCCCCAATGCGAACGCCAAGCAGCCGATGGAGGAGGCCGATGCGCACTGCGTTCCTGCGCCTCGTGTTCCTGCTTGTACGCTCGGCAGCGGCTACGTTGCAAAGCAAAGCGGCACGAAAGCAACGGAAGCGCAGACCGGCGAATCCAGAAGCGGTTAGCAACAATCAGCAAAAAGCAAAAAGCGGCGCGCAAGGAACCACTTTGCAGCTCTTGGCACTCTGCCGCGGGCCGAGGAGGATTGGATCCATCACAGTGGCTGCATTCCGCTGGCATGGCCCTGTTGGCTCTTTCCTTTGCTGCTCGACCATCACCATCATCGCACACGCAAGCTGCTCCTCGTTTGTCTTCGCACAATCAACCATCACAGAAGCAATCTTCTGGCACGCCCTCATCTCCAAAACCAAACACGGTGCGGCTGGACCGACTCGTATTCGCACATACCCAACACGTCCCGCCAGGCATGTCGTTGTTGATACGCTGGCTCGGCGCGCTTCTTGCGCTGCTCGCCACCTTGGCCGCCGTCTCCCTCGCCGGCCCGATGCCCGCATTCGACCCGGCAGTGCTCTCGCTCACCGAAGGCAACTTTACCAGCTGCACCGACAAGGGCATGTGGCTCGTCGAGTTCTTCTCGCCCTACTGCCCGCACTGCAAGAGGCTCGCACCCACCTGGCGCGACCTCGCCGACGCCGAACGCCATCTCCAAGACTCGTCGGACTTCCACATGGCACGCGTCAACTGCATCGCGCAGGGCGACTTGTGCTCGCGCAACAACATCCTCGGTTACCCGTCCATCGAGCTCTTCCGCGACGGCACCTGGGCAGAGACCTACGAGGGAGACCGCTCCTTTGACGATCTCGACGCCTACATCCAGGCGAGGGCGGCGGACAATCGCAAACTCATCGCGCTCACACAGAGGTTTTCCAGCTAGTCATCGTCGCTCGGAGCAAAATTTTGTGGCCGCCTCAAATGCAGGCTGTTTGTCGCCGTCATGAGCTTAATCTATACCCACCTTCTCTCTCGACAATTTGCTGCGCCCGTGTCATATCTACAGAGTGATGAGCTTCTGGCTGAGGGCGACATTGACAAAAAAGAAAGGCGTCGGAACGCGGCGGGAAAATCCGAGGCGCCTCCACACTCTCGAGCCAGCGTCTGGCTGCGGGCCTGTGCGCCCACATTTGAACATCGCTTCCGCCTTCATCCCGCTCGCCGCTCGCTATCATTATCCTTATCCCCCGCGCATCCCTCTTACCCCCACATCCTCCATCGACCATCCTGATATAGAGCCTCTGCAACCATGGCGGCGCCGCTGTACACCACGGCTTCCGGCCAGCTCTACCACGCCGGCAAGATCCTCATCGCCACCGTCGGCCTCCCCGCACGAGGCAAGACGCACCTCTCGCACGCCATCGAGCGCTACCTCACCTGGCTCGGCGTCAAGTCGGGCGTATTCTCGCTCGGCGATCACCGTCGCAAGGTGCTGGGTGGAGCCGACAAGATCCCTGCCGACTACTTTAGCACCGGCCCCAAGAGTGCCGACACCGAGGCGCTGCGCAAACGCATCCTGGACGACTTTGACGATACCGTCATCGACTTTTTCTTCAACCAGGGCGGCCAGGTGGTTGTCTACGACGCTAACAACGGCGTCCAGGCGCGTCGCTATGCCATCCGCGAAAAGTACGGCAAGCTGGGTGTGCACGTCATGTTTCTCGAGAGCATCTGCACCGACCCGCGCGTGGTCGAGGCCAACGTACGCAGCGTCAAACTCAGCAGCCCGGACTATGTCAACTGGGACCCGGAGCGCGCGGTGCAGAACTACTACTCGCGCATCGCCGGTCACGAGAGGACGTACGAGCCCATCGAGAATCCAAGCTTCCCCTACATCAAGCTCATCAACGTCGGCGAACAGGTGGTGGTCAACAACATCCAGGGCTACCTCCAGTCGCGCATCGTCTTCTTCCTGATGAACATCCACAACCGTCAGCGCACCATCTACCTCGTCCGCGCAGGAGAGGCGCTCGTCGAGCATCTGTACAAGGCCGATGCCGATCTGTCGTCGCTCGGATGGGACTATGCCGACGAGCTTGCGCATTTCATGGTGAATCTGCGTCGCAACAAGGCCGGTCTTCCACCCCTCGATGGGCCCGCCGCTGCTGGAGCGAAGGACGAGTTTATGGAAGCCGACAGCAAGGCGTTCGAAGTATGGACGTCGCAGCGACGGCGGTCCTCGCACACGGCCTACCCGCTCGCAGAGGCAGGGTACAAGGTGATCGAGCGCAGCCAGTTGAGCGAGATGAACCCGGGCGTGGTGGATGGTATGACGGTCGACGAGGTTCGGCGACGTTTCCCGGACGAGTACGAGCGCAAGCTGCGCGAACCCTACTCGCACCGCTTCCCACGTGCCGAGTCGTACCACGACCTATCCGTTCGGCTGGAGCCGATCATCTTTGAGCTGGAGCGTACGCGCAATGATGTGCTGATCATCGGTCAGTCTTCGGTGCTGCGCTGTCTGATTGCGTATCTGCAGGGCCTGCAGCCCCACGAGATTCCGAGCATCCAGGTGCGCGAAGGGCATCTGATCGAGATCCTGCCCCAGGCGTATGGAGTCAAGACCGAGGTGCACGAATTCTGGGACCCCGAGGCACGCCGAAACGAACGCGACGCTGCATTCGACGACCTCGAACAATGCGCGCCCGAAAAGTCGACGCTGGTGCACATCAATGAGGCCGTCATGTCCGGTCCTGCTGTGCAACCCGAAAATCCTGCCCGGCTCCAGTGGGCAAGACGAAGAAACTCCTCCGGTCGCAGTCCCGAGGGCATCCGTGCCGACCGCGAAGCCATCCGTGAACTCGAGGCGCATCTGCGCGAAAACCAGATCAAGGAACACTCTGAATCCGCAGCACTCTAAATCACCCACAATACCATTGGTTCCACCGGAAGGAAAGGAATGTGCATTGCAATCGCAGGCGGCAGATCTACTCGTCGTCGTCCGAATTGGCGAAAAAGTCGTCGCCCTTGACACCATCCGCCTGCTCGTCGGCGCTGGTGTCGTCGTCTGCACCCGCTGCCTGTTGCGAGTCGGTGCGCTTGGCGTTGGATTTCGTGGATTTCGACTTGCCCTTTGGCGCCTGTTCCCGCGGTGTGGACGTCGAGGCTCCAGCCTGAGCGGTGGCACGCACGAGTTTGGACCTCGGACCATCCTTGGATGCCAGCTCCACCTCGGGCTCGCTGCTGAGCTGCTGCGACTCGATCGCCTTGCGCACCGTCTCGAGGTGGACGTACGCCTTCTGTCGGCTCTTGTCGTCCTCGTTCGCATTGGGCGGCACGGGGCCCGAGTCGGCATTGGGAAACAGCGCCACGTAGCGCAGATCGGGCGGATACTGAACCACATAGTGAAGCAGTTCCCTGAGCTCCTTGAGCGAGTCGACCAGGTCGGATCTGGACATCTTGGACGCCTGCTTCTTGACTCTCGCCTGGTCCTCTGCATCCGAGTCGGAATCCGAATCCTCCCGCAGCGAGGCGCCGCTCTCGAGCACGTCGAGGTTGCGCTTGCACCGAGCGATGCGGCGCACCAGTTTCTGGCGCTCGACAAACTTGATGCGGTGGTAGCGCGATGCGCGCGACTTCTCCACCTGCCGGCGCGACTGCACCTCCAGATCCGCCTCGAGAGCACGCAGCCGCCGCTCCGCCTCGATCTTGGTGCCCGGCGCCAGGTTAGGCTTGGCCAGCAGCCGCTTGGTCTGTCGAATCGAGCTCTTCAGCTTGGACGCACCCGGAAGCCCAGAAGATGCCGACGCCTGCGCTTTGTCGTTTCGTGGCTTCTTGTGCGCGTGTTGCGGCTTGGGTTTGGATGACGAGGCGCCGTTCGAGGTCGATGTCGAGGGCGCAGGACGCTTGCGCTTGGATTGTGTGCTGCGCAAAGGCGAGTCGGTGTGCGTGGCGTCTGCGCCACCGCTGCGAACCGCAGCCTTGCCCTTGCCGTCCTTGGCCATGATGTGCAGTCGAAAGCGAGATGGTGGTGCTCGGAAGGGTCCACCAACGTCCCCAATTCGAGAAAAAGCGCTCCTCGGCCTCGTTTGGTGCGAAAAAAATCTCGGCTTGGCAGCCGGGCTGGAGCCAGGCTGGAGCCATGTGGAGAAAATGTGATTTGGATCGGAGGCACCATTGCCCGATCTGCCTGCGAGCAAGGGAAGGCGGCTTGCGGCTGCCGTTGTGCATGCGTGAAAAAGCGCAGGGGCACGATGACGCAGTGGAATGCACGACCCTTGTCACACCTCTTTGGCATTTTGGGACTTTGTTGGGGAAGGCGCCGGTGGAGACCTCGCTCCTGCATGCTCGCTGCTCCACATTCACACTCACACTCACACTTGACTGCCTCCATCATCGGCATCACCACCCAAACCCTTCTTTCGATTCTTCCTACATCATCCTCCTTCGTTACCCGCGTCGGAATGCTGCAATCGCACGCATACAGCTCTAGGCCATAGACAGCAGCATGTCGTCCATCTTTCAGCGCCGCAAGCAGCCGGACCCGGCCTCGCTGTCGGCGTCCAACGACAATCCGATTGCAAAGGCAGCCAACGGCACCACGCCATCAGCATCCCATCGGAACCAGGCGCAATCGACAGATGTCCAGCCATCCACACTGAGGACCGCGACCAAGCGCCGTCGCAGCCTAGGCAACATCCTCTCGCCCACCCTCTTTCCACGCAGCCCGGACGAGGAGGATCTCGACCCACTCCTCACCGCAGACTATGTCGAGTCCGAGCACATCGAGGCGTTCCGCGAGGCTCTCGCGCAGGACCTCGGCCAGCAAGAGTACCAGCCAACGTCCTCGTCCCAGATCACCGGATCTTCCAGCTGGAATGTCTTTGGCTACGGCAAGACGCCCAAGTCGCCCTCCCCCGCAGACAACGTCCCTGCGCCAGCTGCCGCTGCTGCCTTGGCGGAGCCCAAGTCGCCGGCCATGGCAGAGCCGTCCGGAACGCGCGCCTCCAATCCGCGCAAGGTAGGAAGGATCGCCGCCGCCTCCGACTTTGCCCCCATAAACCAAAAGATCTCGCGCAAGTCCAAGCAAAAGAAGGGCGGCATCGTCGACTCGGGCGTGCGCGAGGGATTCGTATTCCACACGCTGCGCTGGCCGCTTCTCATCTTCATCTTCATCGTCATCAGCCTCGAGTTTCTGCTCTACGTCCTCGTCCGTCAGCTCGTCAACCTCATCGAATACTCAATAGCCTGGCGAGGCCAGAAGGGCCAGCTCCGCAAACGCATGCGCGGCGCCACCGACTACGCGCAGTGGAAGGAGGCCGCTCTCGCCCAGGACGACTTCCTCGGCTACGAAAGGTGGAAGACCGAAGACGGCAGCGGCTTCTACGACTGGATCCTCGTGAAAAAGGTAAAGTCGTCGCTCAAGAACTTCCGCGACAAGGACGACGCCGAGAATCTGCTCGGCGTGCTCGATCTCTGCCTGCGCAACAACTTTGCCGGCACCGAAAACTTCCGCCTCTACTCCGAGACCTACCTCGGCACCAAGTACCTTGTCGAAAGCTACCTCGCCGAGATCGAGACCGCGCTCGAGTACATCCAGCAGACCGACAAGATCCCGCTCGACACCAAGCGCAGCTTCTACCGCGCCGTCAGCAAGAACCTCGGCCGCAGCGCTCTCTGCCTCTCGGGCGGCGCCAGCTTCGGCTACTACCACATCGGCGTCGTGCGCGCGCTGCTCGATGCCAATCTGCTCCCCAAGGTCGTCACGGGCACCTCGGCCGGCGGCCTCATCGCCGCGCTCACCTGCACCCGCACCGACGACGAGCTGCGCCGCATGCTCGTTCCTGCGCTCGCCGACCGCATCACCGCATGCGAGGAGCCCTTCTCCGTGTGGGCCCGGCGCGCATGGGCGACGGGCGCGCGCTTCGACACGGTGCAGTGGGC